CTGGAGGCAGCTCTCCGCTGCCTGTTTAGTCTATGGCCGAATCTTTGAATGGGACAAATCTTTTCCAAAGCTTTTCTGAATCAATTCAAATGCTTCAAATAGATTCAGAGCTTTTACTTGGACTCCCAATTAGATTTGGATTTGGAGATTAGGTCCCCAAATCGGGCCAAATCTCCTCCGAATTGAATCAGCTACCGAAGCTTCATGTAACCCTAGTTGTCAGCTGACACTATGGCCCCTGAAACGTGTCTGCAATGAAGTCTCATGAAGTCAGTGGATCTTTGCACAGGTTCAGACTGCGCAAAGGGAACTAAAATTAGATCTATGCTTTGATGTAATTTGTCTTCATTACACGGGGCCACACTGCCAAGTCAAAGGACTACAATTGCATGTGGCTGCTTAGAGAGATTGATCTTACAAGTGGGACACAAGCTTTTCCAGCGTACAAAGAGCTCTGTGCCAGGACCTCCTCTAATGGGGATAATATGTTCTCCCATTTATTTAGACCGCAAGCTCTCCCGACAGGAACTGCGTCACTGAGCACTTGTAAAACACAAAGCACAACAGGCCCAGATGTCCGTGGGACACGCAGGCACTACTGTAATACCAGCTGTAGAAGAAATTGCTCCCCACAAAAATGAGCAGATTTGACGTCTACCCTGTGACATTCGGTGCCCAAGAAGCTAACCTTAGATTTGTGCCCCAGCTGCACACTCCAGGGGCTTCTGCATCAGGCTCAAAATCTGACCTGCTGCAAAGTACATTGCCAGTCTTGAAGGGGAGAGACATTTTTGTTGGTTCATCTGAGTTTATAAGCAAGATCCATCCAAACTTCAGACCAATTCAGAGGCGGTGTGCCCAGCTCCCATATTTCACATGGCTCTTGCTATTTAAAATCTGCCTCATTGCTAAATCAGGCCCATCTACCTTGGCCTCTCCCTGCCCAGAGGCAGCATGACTCTTCTTTACAGTGCTCCCAATTGGTGACTCTGGTGGTTACTTGGATAGCCAAAGCCACGTTAGGAAACTTGAACTGGCTCCCTGCCCAACCAGAAGGCATCCTAATTCCATGTGCATGAGCACTTTTTGCCCGTGGTGCTCTAAACAGTGGGTTTATTTCTTCAGGCGGTTTTGTTTAGCTTGTGCTCCTCCGGGAAAATCAAGCTGGCTACATGCAGGGGAGGGGAGATGGAAAATGTACTGTAGCGTCTCTCTCCAGCAGCTTGGCAGAGCTCATTTAAAAAGGGCCTAGACTGACAGTCCCGGAGACAGAAGCTCTTTTAAACTGGCTGACTAGGTCCAATGTAGCGCAGCAATACAGACCCACACGCATGGGATGAGCTTATCTATGCCCTTCTAAAGAACCCACCATGGAAGGGGTTAATTGCCAAACATACCTTAACCCAGCCTGGAAAGATTTTATTGGGCATTTTCCCCTCTGCTTTTCTAGCCCTATGCAAAATAAGCATGGTAGGCATCCACGTACAGCATAACCTATGTGGAGGGAAAGGCTGACAAGTAGGGAGGCCAGGGACACTCCACTGGGGGATGCAGACGAGTATAATCTGTCTGTGAGGTGCAGTTTATATCAGGCCTAGCAGAGGACCACCGAGGAGAGGTCTAGCACTGGGGAAGAAGGCATCTCCCCCACACTTTATTTTACAAAGAGAAGTGGAGTGGAGTGGGGCACAAACCAGCATAGATAACTGAGTGGGGGATGCCCTAAAGGGATGCCCATAGCACAGCGGTTCTCAATCAGTTCCCCGGGCCTGCACCCAGAAGCGCTGCATATGGGGTGTAAGAAATCGGCCAAATTAGCACAGGCAAAACTCAATTCTGGGGCACGTCTGCCAAAAGCACCATAAGGGAGCTAGGCTACAAATCTGTGCTCCGGGTCGGACGCGGAGAAGCGTGGGATCCAAACGATGAGAACCAATGCCCTAGTGCACAGTGCAGGATGCTTGTCACATGCCTTCATACCACCTGATCCCCAGGAGAAAAAGGGGGCTCAGCCTTTGATTCTCCAAGGGGCCTCGCGGCAAAAGGCAGCACACGTGCGTGTGACATGGGGTGCCCATAGACATGCCAGGAGGCTGCTCTGTTACAGCCCATCAAAGCAGACTTGATTAATTGAGTCTGCTGGAGCGTGCCAGGTCTTGTGTATCAGTGTCCCCACATTTCAAAATGGGCAGCAGGGGCACTTTAATTAAAGCACGTCGAATGAGCTTTAGTTAAAGCACCCCTACCACCTTTTGAAACAGAGGGAGGCTGATACATGAAACACTATGGGTGCTTTAATTAGAGTGGCTCCTGGAGCTGTTCCAATTAAAGCACCCCCCACCCCTCCTGCACAGCAAGTGTAAAAATACCCCTGGAGCTTCGTCAAAGCTTCCTAGTGTCGCCCTTCAGATCATTCCCCTCCCCTACAACTCTTCTTCCAGCCTGCAGGTTGTTGCAATAGCAATGTCAAGATTGACCTGAAGCTGCTAACCAGGACACCTAGGTCAGCCACCAGCAGCTAACAGCCTGGAAAAGATTTGAACTGGACATTCGGCACAGCTGAGAAGCACAACAAGTCAACATGGAGCCATGGTCCTCAGTCACTCAACAACAGGGAAAAATAGCTCTTGGTACCCAGACGCTACAGGGAACAGGGACATCCAGCCTAGAGACTCTGTGATCAGTTCCTCAAGACTGGGGAGTAAAATAGACAACAGATTGACTGCCTTTTTTCCCTCAAATATATGAATAATGTTAACCCCCACTTGCCATTTGCAGGGGGGGGGGGGGGATAGTTTTTTTTCTTGCCCTTTTGGGGGGGGGGGGGGGGAAATTGTTTTTTCCAGCAGCTTCTCCCTCCAGGACAACACTAAGTGTCAGGAATAACAAGAGGACAGATTGTTAGCGCAGTGACAGCACGTTGCTTTGCCAACAAAACAAGCTTTGGCAGAAGCACTGCACAGATTTTAATAACTAGAGTAATAAAAACAATGTTCTGGGTACAGATTCACTTCCTTTGCTCAGTGCGATCTCACCTGCTAAGAAATCAGACTACCGCATTTTCACATTAATGGCTGGCTGGGTTCACTCGGGCCTAAGCACCTCTACATCCTCTCTCACAGCGATACCAAATGACACATGACATATGTCCCAGGCATCCTACTGCTGCACTGCACTTGCAGGGGCACAAGAAAGGAAGAAAAGGGGTTTTCCTTCTCTCTCCCAAAGGGGCAAATGGCAACTTCCCCATGGGTGCGTCTACATGTACGCTTTACTGTGGAATAGATTAATTAGCTTTGCAGTAAAGTGCTACCGTCTAAACATGCGCTGGTATTAGGGCACAGTAAAATTAACTCACTCCTCTGTAAGATAGTACTGTTGGGGACAGTACTATCGTACAGTGGAGTCAGTAAGTGTGGTTAAACACGCACATAGACAGTGACCACCAGAAGCAAACTGTACCCGGTAAGCCCAGCCAGCCAAGGGCCAGACCCTTGGCTCCCACCAGCTCCTCCGCCACCCAACACTGCCACCCTCTGTGCCCCCTGCCAGCCTAGGGCTTCTCCACCCCAGCTCAAACTGCTGCAGTCCCAGGCACACCTGTAGACGTTGCGCCCAGGAGCAGCTGACTCCAGCTTGAGCTGCTCCGGAGCTTATTGTGTTGCATTAATTACCTAGATGCACCCCCTGTATCAAAGTGGGGAAAGTTCGGTACAACATTTGGGTGTCTATACACATGCTCTATGGTGGGGGCACTTTAATTAGAGCAGCTCTGAGAGCCACTCTAATTAAAGTACCGGCAGCATCATGTGTATTCAGTGTCCCACACTTCAAAATGGTAGCAAGGCACTTTAACTCAAGCTTGCAGAACCCGCCGCGATTTCGAAATGCAGGGACACTAAATACACAAGATGTGGAGGCTGTTGAAGGGCGCTAATTAGCATGCTCCAACAGACTCACAGCAGACATGATTAATTGAGTCTGCTTTGACGCATGCTAATTACCACCCATCGGAGAGACGTCCATCACATGTATGGGTGCCCTTTTTTCTCCATACTAAGATCAGAGATGGGCCCAAACACTGAATATAAATTCAAAAGCTCTCTCAAAGTTAAGAGAAAGTAAGGCGGACATGAGATTTGGTGTTGTGATCCATGCCTCATAACAGCAGATCCTATTTCAGAAATGTGTATTGCTGCAGGGATCTACCTTCTTTTTAGATGCTACGTAAAGTAATGCCTATCCCTATTTTTTTATATAGATATTCTTAATGGTAAATACTACTCACATAGATACAGGCAACATATTACTTTCGGTTTTTATTAATGTATAATTGATACGGTGACACCAGAACTATAAAATAAAAGACTGATTTAAAAAATCTGTTTTTCCATACACTTTAACAATACAAGGGAAATGAAAAGGACATTTCCCATGTTTATACGGGGCAGCAAGAGAAAGAACCAGAGTCCATGTTGCTGTAAAACCCCATAAACTATCAACTGGGTGGGCAGGGAGCAGGAAGAGATTTCTTGTATCTGGATGCAAGTCGCAGTTGGGGCGTGTGGTTGGGATTGCTGGCAGGGTTTGCTTGAGTGGGGGTCCCGGCAGGGAGGTGGTGGTTGGGGTGACTTGGGAATTGGGGTTCTCTGTTTCTGGGGTGTTGTTTTGGGAATCCTGTATGTGGGTCACTTGTCTACCGCAAGCTGCTCTGAGCCTTTTGGATGTGGTGGGATATACATCTAATCAATAAATACATAATAAACCGATCAGACCCAATGTCCCTTTAACTTTTTTGGAAAATGGATATAGCTGAAATGTCCAAGAATTGCATAGAAGCATTAATTTCTGACAAAAGTGCATATTTCTCCTAGCCCATTACACATCTTGGAGCTCTGAGTTGGCTTCTAGCTCCAATTTTCAGGGTCCCGGCAGTGCCTTGCAGGGGAAAGAGCTTTCTAAGGTTACCTTAAAAGAGTCGTACTAAATTAAACTAACCTCAAATCTCTGAAGTCTCCAGACCCCGTCAACATTAGAGTGCTGAAGGGTAAGTCATTAAGTGCGACTGAAGGGCCTGATCCTACAAGGCACTGAGTATCTGTCTCTGAGCTTAGAGAAATGGGGGTACTCAGCACCTCACAGAATCAGCCCCTGCCTCACACTGGTAAGATAACAGCTCTAACACCAATTCAGGACTAGTGATGTTACCAATGCTAATCCTTTTTATTTTAAGTTACCAAGGTCAACACACATTTTCACAAGATGAAATACTTGGAAGTTTTGCTTTCCCTTTGTGGGAGAGACCAAAGCAGAGGTAAGGATGCCTTGCCCTGGAACAAAGGGAGAGCAAACCAGTCCATCTCCATAATGGGACAGGAGTGAGGGAGCCTGAGAGGTGGAGCTGTTGCATCTGAGAGGTAAGCAAGCTCTCAGAGAGCACGCACACACTGTTTTCTATGAATATCTGTCTCATGCATAGAGCTCTGTGCGTTAATAAAGGGACACCATTTATTGCCACCACCATACACGCCACCACCATGGCAGCAAATTTGGATCTTTATTTTAAGCGCGCTGCATTCAGCCCTGGTGCTTACAGCCACGAGGCGCATTATGTGTTCGAAGCTGTTGCAAAATTCCCTGAGCACATGGGGTGCCTGTAGACATGCCGGGAGGCTGCTCTGTTACAGCATGTCAGAACAGACTTGATTAATCGAGTCTGCTGGAGCATGCTAATTAGCAGCCAGTCTCTGCATCTCATGCAACTGTGTCCCGGCGCTTCAAAATGGGCAGTGCGGGGGCTTTAACTAAAGCTCAAACTAAAGCTTCAGTTCAAGCATCCTGCTGTCATTTTGAAGTGCAGGGTCGCTGATACACGAGACACTGTGGCTGCTTTAATTAGAGTGGCTCTTGGAGATGCTCTAATTAAAGCACTTTCCCACCCCCCAAGCACATGTAAAAACACCCCTGGAGCTTTGCCCCAGCTTCCTAGTGTCACCCTCCAGATCATTTCCCTCCCCTACAACTCTTCTTCCAACCTGCAGGCTGTTGCAATATCAACACTTACTTAACTGTATCCTCCCAATAAAAGGGGAATACTGGTTGCATCCATATGTGCTGTGTATGTGCATGGGGGTGGGAAGAGGAGTAAAGGTCAAAGAAAAGAAAAGAAAAGACCTCCCTGAGAAGAATGCAGTTAATCATTGACAGTGGTTGGGTCAGATCGTGTGGGCTTTTAATGGTTTGGTTAGATCAAAAGACATTTATGGATTGAATACCTATAAAATCTACCTGGTACACTGAAAAAACCAGGCTGGATTTTCTTGTGTAGACCTATTTACACTGCTGCTCACCAATGTCACTACTACAAAAAAGATCCGCTTCTATGAATGTGGTAAATTAACTAATAATAAAAGTCATTTGAGTCTAGTGCCTTATATTCCAGCCACAGAGAGTTTATAGGAAAAACTGAAAGGAAAGAAATACGCATTTTTAGATCAGAATGACAGATACCATAGTTTTTGCATGTTTTAAAAAGACTTTAAATACATTAAATATATTGTTTACCTATATTTCGGGTGTCTAGAATACCCCAGACTTGAAAAAAGCAAGCCAGCATTAAATGCACAATGATTATAACGTTGTTTTATGCACCTTTGAAAAACCAAATGAATGCCAACAAAAAAACTTACCACTGTATTTGATGAATTATAATCCTCTGCAGATTTATCTGAAACAGAGAAACAGATACCACTGCAATTATTATGAGAGTGCTTTGCAATGCAACCATGCCTAGAGGTCCAGGCTGCAATAAGCTGTGGCAAGAACTGCAGAAACATAGTAAACTGCTGTGGGGAAAGGAATTATCCCCATCTTAGGGAGGGTGAACCCCCGTGCAGGGTGACTAAGGGGTCTAAGAGTTTGGTCCAGGAAAGGGCTAATGACATTTTAGCCAGCGCCTGCTTCCTGGCAAGGCAGGAGGTTTTTGCAGACCACATGCTGGGACCCAGGTGTGCCCACTTCCAGCGAGCTGTCAATACTCTGAAGCTGTGCCCTTTGCACCACAATGGAGGGGTGGGTAGAGGGTGCCTCCGTGCCTACCCTGCTTCCAGCCAGGTGGGTAGGGCAGTCTTCTGGGATGTGAGGGAGGTAGGTCTGCAACCTCTTGGACATGGTGGTGATAAAACTAAATCAAGCTCCCTCGCTCCCTGGGGAAGTAGTCCAACCACTAGGATCCTGCTCATGGGGGACATCACTGCCACCTCCTCCTCCAGTTGTATGTTCGAGGAAAGGACTGGTCCCTGCTTGGCTTGTGAAAGGAGGGTTGTAGGCAACTTCCCTTAGGAAGAGGTTCTGGACTCTAGATCCAGACTGGATGAAGACACGTTACAGCACAAGGGGCCTGTTTAAAAACACATCTCCATCCTTGGTGCTTCCTACCGGCGAGCTCAGGGAGACTGTTCCCTGCTCAGAGTGCTGACTGCTTTGAGTCCTAGTCCAAAGCGCACCTAAAGCTCCTCATCCAGTGTACAGGGTGTCTGGACACCTGCCTCAGTGCTCTGGACACCACTCCAGGCAGCACTAATTCCCTGTGCTCCAAGAAAGCCTGGACAGATTACAAGACACAGTTTACTGTCTTCCCAACCAGGTTCAAAAAGCATCCCAACTACTCCAGCCCTTTGTAATCCCTATGCACAGCCATGTGGAGGGAAGCAGAAGCTGATGGAGCCCCAGAAACAAATTAATCATTTCAAATCCAATTCAGTTTAAGAGAACAGGAGGTCATTTTGTCAAGAAGTCTGACTATGTGGAGTTGCTGCCCACAAGCGATCTACGGCTTGGAGCTCCTGCAGGCTCTTGATGCGCCAAGAGGGTTTTCTTGAGGGAATAAGATGTGCGAAGGACTTCCCCAAGCAGGCTGCCATCCTGTACAATAACAATCTAACACTCTGCAAGCACAATCAGGGCAAGCTCTTCCCTGGTGTTAGGGGTGCAATTCCCCAGAGGCATCAGTGCAACTGAAACCGAGCCAGCGCTTTCATTCATATGCACAGAGTACTAGAAACCCTGTCGGTGCAATGAGGAGACCCCATCATGAACAAAGATCACTGAGCAATGCAGACTCATGTGACAGTCTTATCCACTGTAGCCAGGGGTGCCAAACTCATCTGGCCCCACGGGCCGGTCCAGATGGCACCCACGGACCAGATCCAGCATGTGCCCTGGAGCAGCTGGAGAGGATGCCATATTGATGCAGCTACATCTTAAAGCCCGGGGGGGGGGGGAAATTGTTTTTTCCAGCAGCTTCTCCCTCCAGGACAACACTAAGTGTCAGGAATAACAAGAGGACAGATTGTTAGCGCAGTGACAGCACGTTGCTTTGCCAACAAAACAAGCTTTGGCAGAAGCACTGCACAGATTTTAATAACTAGAGTAATAAAAACAATGTTCTGGGTACAGATTCACTTCCTTTGCTCAGTGCGATCTCACCTGCTAAGAAATCAGACTACCGCATTTTCACATTAATGGCTGGCTGGGTTCACTCGGGCCTAAGCACCTCTACATCCTCTCTCACAGCGATACCAAATGACACATGACATATGTCCCAGGCATCCTACTGCTGCACTGCACTTGCAGGGGCACAAGAAAGGAAGAAAAGGGGTTTTCCTTCTCTCTCCCAAAGGGGCAAATGGCAACTTCCCCATGGGTGCGTCTACATGTACGCTTTACTGTGGAATAGATTAATTAGCTTTGCAGTAAAGTGCTACCGTCTAAACATGCGCTGGTATTAGGGCACAGTAAAATTAACTCACTCCTCTGTAAGATAGTACTGTTGGGGACAGTACTATCGTACAGTGGAGTCAGTAAGTGTGGTTAAACACGCACATAGACAGTGACCACCAGAAGCAAACTGTACCCGGTAAGCCCAGCCAGCCAAGGGCCAGACCCTTGGCTCCCACCAGCTCCTCCGCCACCCAACACTGCCACCCTCTGTGCCCCCTGCCAGCCTAGGGCTTCTCCACCCCAGCTCAAACTGCTGCAGTCCCAGGCACACCTGTAGACGTTGCGCCCAGGAGCAGCTGACTCCAGCTTGAGCTGCTCCGGAGCTTATTGTGTTGCATTAATTACCTAGATGCACCCCCTGTATCAAAGTGGGGAAAGTTCGGTACAACATTTGGGTGTCTATACACATGCTCTATGGTGGGGGCACTTTAATTAGAGCAGCTCTGAGAGCCACTCTAATTAAAGTACCGGCAGCATCATGTGTATTCAGTGTCCCACACTTCAAAATGGTAGCAAGGCACTTTAACTCAAGCTTGCAGAACCCGCCGCGATTTCGAAATGCAGGGACACTAAATACACAAGATGTGGAGGCTGTTGAAGGGCGCTAATTAGCATGCTCCAACAGACTCACAGCAGACATGATTAATTGAGTCTGCTTTGACGCATGCTAATTACCACCCATCGGAGAGACGTCCATCACATGTATGGGTGCCCTTTTTTCTCCATACTAAGATCAGAGATGGGCCCAAACACTGAATATAAATTCAAAAGCTCTCTCAAAGTTAAGAGAAAGTAAGGCGGACATGAGATTTGGTGTTGTGATCCATGCCTCATAACAGCAGATCCTATTTCAGAAATGTGTATTGCTGCAGGGATCTACCTTCTTTTTAGATGCTACGTAAAGTAATGCCTATCCCTATTTTTTTATATAGATATTCTTAATGGTAAATACTACTCACATAGATACAGGCAACATATTACTTTCGGTTTTTATTAATGTATAATTGATACGGTGACACCAGAACTATAAAATAAAAGACTGATTTAAAAAATCTGTTTTTCCATACACTTTAACAATACAAGGGAAATGAAAAGGACATTTCCCATGTTTATACGGGGCAGCAAGAGAAAGAACCAGAGTCCATGTTGCTGTAAAACCCCATAAACTATCAACTGGGTGGGCAGGGAGCAGGAAGAGATTTCTTGTATCTGGATGCAAGTCGCAGTTGGGGCGTGTGGTTGGGATTGCTGGCAGGGTTTGCTTGAGTGGGGGTCCCGGCAGGGAGGTGGTGGTTGGGGTGACTTGGGAATTGGGGTTCTCTGTTTCTGGGGTGTTGTTTTGGGAATCCTGTATGTGGGTCACTTGTCTACCGCAAGCTGCTCTGAGCCTTTTGGATGTGGTGGGATATACATCTAATCAATAAATACATAATAAACCGATCAGACCCAATGTCCCTTTAACTTTTTTGGAAAATGGATATAGCTGAAATGTCCAAGAATTGCATAGAAGCATTAATTTCTGACAAAAGTGCATATTTCTCCTAGCCCATTACACATCTTGGAGCTCTGAGTTGGCTTCTAGCTCCAATTTTCAGGGTCCCGGCAGTGCCTTGCAGGGGAAAGAGCTTTCTAAGGTTACCTTAAAAGAGTCGTACTAAATTAAACTAACCTCAAATCTCTGAAGTCTCCAGACCCCGTCAACATTAGAGTGCTGAAGGGTAAGTCATTAAGTGCGACTGAAGGGCCTGATCCTACAAGGCACTGAGTATCTGTCTCTGAGCTTAGAGAAATGGGGGTACTCAGCACCTCACAGAATCAGCCCCTGCCTCACACTGGTAAGATAACAGCTCTAACACCAATTCAGGACTAGTGATGTTACCAATGCTAATCCTTTTTATTTTAAGTTACCAAGGTCAACACACATTTTCACAAGATGAAATACTTGGAAGTTTTGCTTTCCCTTTGTGGGAGAGACCAAAGCAGAGGTAAGGATGCCTTGCCCTGGAACAAAGGGAGAGCAAACCAGTCCATCTCCATAATGGGACAGGAGTGAGGGAGCCTGAGAGGTGGAGCTGTTGCATCTGAGAGGTAAGCAAGCTCTCAGAGAGCACGCACACACTGTTTTCTATGAATATCTGTCTCATGCATAGAGCTCTGTGCGTTAATAAAGGGACACCATTTATTGCCACCACCATACACGCCACCACCATGGCAGCAAATTTGGATCTTTATTTTAAGCGCGCTGCATTCAGCCCTGGTGCTTACAGCCACGAGGCGCATTATGTGTTCGAAGCTGTTGCAAAATTCCCTGAGCACATGGGGTGCCTGTAGACATGCCGGGAGGCTGCTCTGTTACAGCATGTCAGAACAGACTTGATTAATCGAGTCTGCTGGAGCATGCTAATTAGCAGCCAGTCTCTGCATCTCATGCAACTGTGTCCCGGCGCTTCAAAATGGGCAGTGCGGGGGCTTTAACTAAAGCTCAAACTAAAGCTTCAGTTCAAGCATCCTGCTGTCATTTTGAAGTGCAGGGTCGCTGATACACGAGACACTGTGGCTGCTTTAATTAGAGTGGCTCTTGGAGATGCTCTAATTAAAGCACTTTCCCACCCCCCAAGCACATGTAAAAACACCCCTGGAGCTTTGCCCCAGCTTCCTAGTGTCACCCTCCAGATCATTTCCCTCCCCTACAACTCTTCTTCCAACCTGCAGGCTGTTGCAATATCAACACTTACTTAACTGTATCCTCCCAATAAAAGGGGAATACTGGTTGCATCCATATGTGCTGTGTATGTGCATGGGGGTGGGAAGAGGAGTAAAGGTCAAAGAAAAGAAAAGAAAAGACCTCCCTGAGAAGAATGCAGTTAATCATTGACAGTGGTTGGGTCAGATCGTGTGGGCTTTTAATGGTTTGGTTAGATCAAAAGACATTTATGGATTGAATACCTATAAAATCTACCTGGTACACTGAAAAAACCAGGCTGGATTTTCTTGTGTAGACCTATTTACACTGCTGCTCACCAATGTCACTACTACAAAAAAGATCCGCTTCTATGAATGTGGTAAATTAACTAATAATAAAAGTCATTTGAGTCTAGTGCCTTATATTCCAGCCACAGAGAGTTTATAGGAAAAACTGAAAGGAAAGAAATACGCATTTTTAGATCAGAATGACAGATACCATAGTTTTTGCATGTTTTAAAAAGACTTTAAATACATTAAATATATTGTTTACCTATATTTCGGGTGTCTAGAATACCCCAGACTTGAAAAAAGCAAGCCAGCATTAAATGCACAATGATTATAACGTTGTTTTATGCACCTTTGAAAAACCAAATGAATGCCAACAAAAAAACTTACCACTGTATTTGATGAATTATAATCCTCTGCAGATTTATCTGAAACAGAGAAACAGATACCACTGCAATTATTATGAGAGTGCTTTGCAATGCAACCATGCCTAGAGGTCCAGGCTGCAATAAGCTGTGGCAAGAACTGCAGAAACATAGTAAACTGCTGTGGGGAAAGGAATTATCCCCATCTTAGGGAGGGTGAACCCCCGTGCAGGGTGACTAAGGGGTCTAAGAGTTTGGTCCAGGAAAGGGCTAATGACATTTTAGCCAGCGCCTGCTTCCTGGCAAGGCAGGAGGTTTTTGCAGACCACATGCTGGGACCCAGGTGTGCCCACTTCCAGCGAGCTGTCAATACTCTGAAGCTGTGCCCTTTGCACCACAATGGAGGGGTGGGTAGAGGGTGCCTCCGTGCCTACCCTGCTTCCAGCCAGGTGGGTAGGGCAGTCTTCTGGGATGTGAGGGAGGTAGGTCTGCAACCTCTTGGACATGGTGGTGATAAAACTAAATCAAGCTCCCTCGCTCCCTGGGGAAGTAGTCCAACCACTAGGATCCTGCTCATGGGGGACATCACTGCCACCTCCTCCTCCAGTTGTATGTTCGAGGAAAGGACTGGTCCCTGCTTGGCTTGTGAAAGGAGGGTTGTAGGCAACTTCCCTTAGGAAGAGGTTCTGGACTCTAGATCCAGACTGGATGAAGACACGTTACAGCACAAGGGGCCTGTTTAAAAACACATCTCCATCCTTGGTGCTTCCTACCGGCGAGCTCAGGGAGACTGTTCCCTGCTCAGAGTGCTGACTGCTTTGAGTCCTAGTCCAAAGCGCACCTAAAGCTCCTCATCCAGTGTACAGGGTGTCTGGACACCTGCCTCAGTGCTCTGGACACCACTCCAGGCAGCACTAATTCCCTGTGCTCCAAGAAAGCCTGGACAGATTACAAGACACAGTTTACTGTCTTCCCAACCAGGTTCAAAAAGCATCCCAACTACTCCAGCCCTTTGTAATCCCTATGCACAGCCATGTGGAGGGAAGCAGAAGCTGATGGAGCCCCAGAAACAAATTAATCATTTCAAATCCAATTCAGTTTAAGAGAACAGGAGGTCATTTTGTCAAGAAGTCTGACTATGTGGAGTTGCTGCCCACAAGCGATCTACGGCTTGGAGCTCCTGCAGGCTCTTGATGCGCCAAGAGGGTTTTCTTGAGGGAATAAGATGTGCGAAGGACTTCCCCAAGCAGGCTGCCATCCTGTACAATAACAATCTAACACTCTGCAAGCACAATCAGGGCAAGCTCTTCCCTGGTGTTAGGGGTGCAATTCCCCAGAGGCATCAGTGCAACTGAAACCGAGCCAGCGCTTTCATTCATATGCACAGAGTACTAGAAACCCTGTCGGTGCAATGAGGAGACCCCATCATGAACAAAGATCACTGAGCAATGCAGACTCATGTGACAGTCTTATCCACTGTAGCCAGGGGTGCCAAACTCATCTGGCCCCACGGGCCGGTCCAGATGGCACCCACGGACCAGATCCAGCATGTGCCCTGGAGCAGCTGGAGAGGATGCCATATTGATGCAGCTACATCTTAAAGCCAAGCTGGTGTAAAATGTGATTACCGCTTCCCAAAGGAACTCTTCTCACTAAGACCACAACTCCAGAGCTCTGCGATCCACTTACCAGTGTTAATCCACAAGGCACTACATGTTTTGGGATCTGCCCAGCTGACACCTCTTCTGTTTCACACCCAGATCTGTCAAAGTGATTACCAGGTTCTTGGGCTAGATTTCAAAGGAAGGGGGCTGTTCGCTGTGCTGGAGACTCAGCTGCCGTGCCTTTGTAAAAGTGAGTCTTCAAATTGATTTTAAATGCCTGGGGCTACCAGGAAGCCTAGTTAAACAGCAGAATAAGACTGACCACCTACCTGTGAAACTCATGTACTTCTGGCTGTTGGAGATCTTCTTGGAGTTGTAAAATTCCAGCACATCGAGCACGGCTTGGGGATTTTTCTTCTGCTCCAATTTGGTGATGTTTGATGTCTGCAGTAACCGAGCCCATTGCTCTGGCATACCCTGGGGGAGATGTTTCAGGCAGTTACCACCAGCCTATTCACATCAAGAATATTTAAAACCTGGAGGCATGCAACATTTAGTTCTCTCACTCAAGCTCAAGGGGATTATTGACAGCATCTGGGAAAGCCTGGTGGACCAACAACTTATTTGTCTCCCAAGGGGCAAGGTTTGAAGCTTTAATTGTGACCCTGCAAACTGATGCACGTTGGCAAACCCTCTGCCACCATGCAATTCCACGCCAGCGGAGCTATGGTGCCGCTCACTGCTTCCTAATACTATTGTAATGCACTGTCTTGACTGGGAGGAAACTGGGCTTGATGGCCCAGGTAGCCCTTTCCAGTCCCACGTTCCTATGCCTCATTGGTCGTGGTGGTAGAGTAGTTCTAATGGCATCTTATGGAGATGTTCATCCCACATATTAAAACAGAATTTCACCACGGAAATGTCTTCAGCTACAAGCAAGATAAGCCTGGGGACCCTAGCCCAGCCCTGACAGTTGTCAGCCGTCAACACTAGATCATTTGATATTCCTATTTGTTGCTACTCCAGTGTCCCAGGTACCAGACTCCCTACTCCAGAGAGTTCGACCCCACTCATTAAAAGATTGATGGATCTACCAGTCAGCTGCTTTGCCAGACTGCCTCATCTTGGCTAGCTGATGAGTACCACAGGCAGCCATGCACAGTGTGACTGTGAGCAAGAATAGAGTGAGGGCACCCAGAGGCCCTGGAAGTGAAGTTTATTAAAGAGAGAAAGCCAAACACCATTATCCTTGCAAACAACTTGTGTGGTGCCGCTGCTGTTCAATCGTATCTCACAATCAAATTCAGAACCAAGCGTGGGCAAATGTGATCTCGTCTCCCCAGTGATTTGTACAGAAGTTTAAAAAAAAAAAAAGAATAAATTGAAATCACTGTCAAATTCAGAGATCACGTCCTACACACTAGCATGGGCATTTGTTTGCAGCTGCCTGCCTCCTAAGAAGAGATCTGGAGTTCAGAGAAGACATGGCTCTAACAAGAAGAGATTGATCATTTCTATTCTGCGAAAAAGCTGCGTCGCTCCCCACCACACCAGAAAGTGGAAAACTTACCTGTAGTCCAACCTTCTGGAATATATTAGTGCCAAGTTTGAACAGGCGAAAGATCAAGTAGTCTGGCTCTCTACCAAGTGGGAATCTGTGGCCTATATTTTGCAAGAGGTTCAGCTCGATGATTATCAGGGTCCCTTCGAATACTACTTTAGGTATGTTTAATATGCCCCGCGTCCTTCAACGACAAGCACGGCCATGCAATGCTCTTCTAATTCACTTACCGTGAATTCACCCGTGACAGCATCAAACCCAACGTGAATCGTGTGCTCGAAATCTGAAGGGAGGGATATCTCCGGTCGTTCTTTCTCCTTCTTCTTATTGGCTGTCAGGGAGGAAAGCAAAATCCATCAAGAACAAAACGCCTTCCCCAGCAGCTCATAGGTCCCTGTGAAACCAAACCCTACCACCAATGAAGAACCCTGTGAGTAACCCACACCCTTAAGCCACAAGTGATCTCTAAGTATTTCATCTGAATTGAAAGCAGCTGGTCAACGCACCACATCATTCAGTCTAGTACAGCGGTGCTCAACCTTTGCACAGGCTGGATGAGTGGCACAGGACCAGTCTGTGGGCCAGATCACCTGTGGGGTCAGTGTGCAGGATCAGGTCCCATGCTGCCCCAGTCCCACACATCGGGATCAGGCCTCAGGCAACCCCAGCCATCTGGCCCACAGGCTGGGGGTTGACCACCCCAGTCTAGTACAGCATAATGCAGGTAACACAAGATAGCACAGGCCAACTCTTCAGAGAGGCTCAGCACCAGTCAGGACCAGATTTTCAGGGGGACGTATTGGGTGGACAATAGGTAAAAGCTCTCTGAGAATCAGACCAGAAACAGCAGCTATTGGGTGCTGAGCATTTTTGAAAATGTGCCCCATTTACTCCAGATGAACCAGGGGTAGGAATAACTGGACACATTTACAGCAGTTGAACAAATCTGGCACAGAGCGAAACCAGTTTAAAAACCATCGCCAATCCATCCCAAGAAGACAGAGCTGTTTAACATCACCTACTCATACATTGCTATTAACAAAAGATAAAAGTTGTCTATACTGCATATGTCCATACTGGAGATCAAAAAGATCAATTGGCAAATACTGGCTCTTGTCAAACACCCCCTCCAACTAAGTGATTAAAAAAACAGAACCATTCAAGGCAAGCACATTATGCTGGCAAATAATCTTCTCTGACAATCAATTAAGAAAAGAATATGATATAATATTATTAGGGGTGCACTGATAAAGATTTTCTTGGCCGATACCGAGCAGATATGCAACCCAGCAGCGTCCAGCTGGTAAGTCAGGGGGAAGGGGGCTGAAGGGGTGGGGGGAAAGCAGATTGAGGCCCCCATGGTGAGGGAAGGAGTGGGGCAGGGGCTGGGGCGAGGCAGAGCTGCGGGCCACTTGTCCAAGAGGCAGAGCAAGTGGGGACTGGGGCGGCTCCCCGCCACTGCGCTCACCCCCAGGAGAGGCATGGGGGGCATGTCCCCTCTGGATTTGTGTGTGGGATGAAGGCAGGCTGCCTGCTGTGGGCTCAGGTCCAGGGGCTGCACCAGCCTCTTCCCAGCACAGGGCTTGGTTCGAGGTGGGCAGGAGCAGGACAGGTGGCAGTGGCACGAGTGGGGGGCTTGCGGGGCTATGGCCACCCCAAAGTTCCCTGCAGCCCCCCCATGCCACTGCCCGCTCCGCACAGCTGAGCTTACCCCGAGTGCAGCCCTAACCCGGCCACCCCACCAGGAAGAGGCCAACGCAGCTCCTGGCCCCAAGCCCACAGCAGACTGCCTGTCCTTGCCCCATGCAAAAATCTTGGGAGCACATGCCCCCCATGCCTCCCCTAGGGGTGCATGCAGCAGCAGGGAACTGCCCCCACCCCCTGTGCAGCTCCGAATGAGCAGCCCACGGCTCCACCCTGCATCCTGCCCTCCCCTCCCCCCCACCTTCCCCCGGACAGACTTAACAGCCAGACGCTGCTCTCCAAACTGCACTCCTGGCCCCATGTGTGCTGCGGCTGCACGCATGCACACAGCATTTATCAGTGACATGATCAGCTACACCGACCAAAAAAAGCCGACTGCTGATAATGTTAATTTTCCCGTTATCGGTGCCGATCCAATATATCAGTGCACCTCTAAATATTATCGCCAAACAAGTTTAAAACCATGTGCCGAAACTAAAGAATCTACCAAGTTGGGTCTGACCAAATAATTTGAAAGCACAACACAGTATTTCAGGTTGGCAACAGAATCGGAACGGTGGGTAAAACAGAGGAACAACAGGCAGGAAAGAGCAGAAATAATTAAACTCTGAGATGCCTGGAATCAATTTTTTAAAAACATACCAAGATCATCCCTGAGGAGTCTAACAAAGCCCTACCATTGTATAATACATTTTATGCATTTTACTTTTAAAACGTACTGTCCTCTGCAAACTGGAGTGAGGGTTGGATGCACTGATCAAATCTACTGACTTCAGCATTTTTGGTACAGATAGGGAGAGTGAATAACCAGGGCACAAGCGGGAGTCGGCCCTAAATTGCTCATTTTCCAGCCGTTATCTTGTCTGTCTATAGACTAAAATACAGACATTCAAAAAGCTTGAAGCGGAATCAATCCACGTTACGTGATTTTGTGACATGATTTTCTGAATGTGGCACAGTTTCGATCGGTAGTGAACAAAACGCATTCGCCCTTTGGTGGGAAAGGCAAATCTTAGACCAGGCTCCACTATTTTTAAACCAATCTATATGTGCCGAACTTCTGTTCTATTATGGGTACAAACCAGTTTCCAATCATTTATACTGGTAAAGGTGTAATCTCTGTACTTGGCCAATGGGTAGTTCTTTTACGACAGACTTTCCCCCAATACAGGGGCTTTTCAATATGCATAGCACCAAAATGTAGGGTTTTTTTAAAACCCCATATATCCTGAAGAGCCACTATTCTAATTCTCCACATTGCAACCATTTAAAGCATTTTTCAAGTGAAACTAGTTGGAAGTACTTGAATCTTGTGGCTTTAGAGGGCCATGTTCTGCTCTCCATTATACCCATAGCGATCTAGTGCAATGCCACTGATATAAATGGAGTTATTCCAGGTTATACTGAACTGGTGTAACTGCAGAATATCATGCCTGAAGGATTCGAATAAAGCCAGAAAAGAAATCACACATAGGGTGTATTGGAGCGTGCGCAAAATAATGGTGGCTTTTGTGAAGGGAGGAATAAAAGAAACAGATGAAGCAGAGGAGGAGCCAGCAGAGAGGGAAGCTGAGAAGGACCAGAAACACCAGCTGGTTACCAGATGTTGAACATCTGCAGCAGGCAGGACAGCAGCTGTATCCAGCAAAAGGCAGAGAAAACTGTATGTTGCCAACAAGGGATAGAAAAGAGAGGGACACTGCTAAGAACCGTGCTAAGACAACCAAAACCCTTTGGATCGGATCCCAAAACCAGTCTGAAGGAGGATGGGCCCCAAAAGAGCTAAGGAGCATTATGCCATTTACCACCCCAAATTCATAGCCCAGAACTCTTCATGCCTCTATATTTGGACCTCCTGAATTGGACCTACTTATGTAGGTGCAGTTAGCACCCAGATTCCACATCTGCTGGGGGAAAACGTCTCACTAATCAGCGACCCCGGCATGCCTTCTCAAACAGCATCAATGAATTCTGTCCTGATGACTCCCGCAGCTGCTTACAAATTCAGATTAAACACAAAAATGAATATTCAAGAAGCAGCCTCACATAAGCAGGGCTGCAGCTTGGATGTGCCTCACTTACATCAAATGATATGCAAGGTTTTCAATCAAGAATGAATAATGCAACTGCACCTGCACTGACGATTTCATTCTTTTTCTGTGTGTAGCTCACAGGCAGAAACGAAACCGTGACTGGAGCTGGACGTGCTTGATGATGAGTGAGTTGATCAGGCTTCCTGAACCTCAGACTTCAACCAGAATCCTTGGGGGGCCTACCTACCTCCAGCGAGCAACCATGCAAGCCTGGTCTTTCTTCTAGGTATCTTCTTCCTTTTGCTTATCATATCATATCTCAAGTTATATTCAGAGCTCTGGGACAGATACTGTGGTTTGCAGTCTAACCTCCAAGCTCCTGCTACTGCCAGCGGGGACAATGTCCTGTAGCTTTCGACCGATCCTACACAGCCCCAGCCTGCAACTTTGGATGCTGTAAAAATACCTAAACACGCCTGGATTAAGTAAACCAGCACTCAAATACTTAAAATATACTAATATAAAATAGTATCTACGTTGGCTCATCAGAGCTTGTTTTAGGTAAGTGGACATGTCACCCCAATGGACCATGAAAGGGCACAGTGTTTCCACCAAATGAGCGTTTCTATGTTCTTAATGGACTAAGCAGTATGAGCTACCTAAATAGTCTTCTTATTTACATGACTTCCACAGGTGTTCAGCCCTGCCTTTTAAACCTGGAAAACATCTGTTTTGCCTATAAAGCTTAGCCTTTGTGGGCCACCACTCACCTGGGCCAGCCAAGGACTGGTGCAGATCTCAGGGATTACCAAATCCTCTTATTCTGTGTTGTGCTAGATTACACGGGCAGATGTGAAAGGGAACAGAGGAGGAGGATCCCAATATATAATTCCAGTATTTGACCCTACCAATACCTGCCAGTGACAATTCCTCAACCAAAGAAGTCCACTGGGAAACACTTTCCACTGGCCCAGCATTTAGTATTTGGTACTGTTCTCATCCGGCTGAACATCCAGAGACCCCACGCCACGCTGGTCACAAGCCATGGGCCACATGCTACGCAAGCTCCCCAGGACCACCCTGCACAGACAGCACTAGCTCCCCTGCTCCCCCCGCTGCATGGCCAGCAAGCTTAGCAGGGCCCTCCATCTGCTCTGCCCTGCCCCAAAATAAGCCGTGTCTGCCACAACAGCCACAAGAGCCGGACAGCCCTGCTGTATAGCAACCACGGCACTGCAAAGAAAAACCACCAGTCGTGCATTCATATCTCACATGCAGCTCCGCTCACTCTCACCATCGAATGACTCATTTTTCCTTGACATTGGCCATGCTTTTCGTGGTGCTTGATAAGTAGAGGCTGCCTTAAGGAGGTATAGGAAACCAGCCCTCAGTACAGAGCAGAGAGGGACAGGGTGCTGTGGAGCCGGTACCATATTTTCCCACATACAACATTCCCCAAAATATAATACACACCTTATTTTTGAAAAGCAGAATAAAGAAAAAAGATCCTCCTTTGTAGTTACTGGGTGCGTCTACATGTTCATTAATGAGCCGTAGTTACTGTGCATTAAGTTTAGTACTTGGATAGCGAAATACTAAATCAACACGCTACTGCACAGTAGCCTCAGCACGTGGGTTTTTGCAGATGCTAACTGTGCAGTTGCCTAAAACTACTGCACCGTAGCGTATTTGCATGGGTTTTGCCTAGCACAATACTGTGCAGTGTTATTAGGCCATTGCGCAGTTAGCATCTCATGTAGATGCACACTGAGTAGCAGCAGCTAGAGAGAAGAGCCTGCTTGTTGGTCTGCTTCCTAGCAGTTGCACGCAGCTTATAATTGGCAAAAACTATTTCTTGTCTCATGAGCACTACAATTTCCAGGAGTTGATTTTTTAAGGGGGAAGTGCATGTGTAGTATGTGAGAACGTATACCAGTTTCCTTCACAGCAGCTTTACAAATCTGAATCTTCACCATTCGGAGAATGGAGAGCAGGAAGAAATCATAGGACTACATTAATAACCAGAACAAAGGAGTCCAACACCCGACTGTAAGAGTGAAAGCAGAGATAACCATACATATAAAACTAGAGAAAGAGCCACTGATGTAGGAGCAGATGCCAGGGTGATGGGCACACTATCAATCCTCCGAGAAGCGGAGAGATCATGTATTATAAAGGACAAGGTTCCCTAAAATAGGTTATGGATATAAAAGGAAACAGGACAGATTAAGGACTGGAAAACATCTATCATTTCAAGAGATTCGCATGATAAATGCGCAGTCTTTAAAATATCCTAATGGTAGAAATTAAATTTGCATGTACAGGACATAGTTCTTTCCCCATTTCCATCTATTCTCTTCCCCATTACAGCAGAAGGAGTTCCTTCAACTTGGAGGAAATTAGGCGATAAATTATACCGATGGATTTTTTGTAGTGGTGGGTAGATGATGTCCGCCTCGAAGTTTTAAAATAGAACAAAAATGACAGATCACATCTGAAACATTCGGCGATTTAGGGCAAAGACAAGGCAGCAACATGTAACAGGCCTGGTGGGAGATGGCCCTTCAGGCACACTTGTACTGTACTAGTCTGCTCTCAGTGTCACGACCACACTCAGCTATCGGTATGCGTTGGACTAAAGCGGGCCAAGGCTTCCTTTAGCTGCAATAGTTGCAACTAGGAAAAGTCACTTCAGACAACCGCTGAAAAAGAGGGCCAATTCCTTGTTTCCAGGGACAGTCACTTGATGTCATCTGCATAGTCCACGCACTCCCCTCACACACCCATTGCATGAGAAACAGAAACGGGAAAGGAAGAACGGCAAGAGAACATGGTTAATTATTAGGAAAAGAGATTCCCAAAGCACAACCACATATTTCCAACATGACCAATACAGTTTCATATCCAACAAATATTACGTGTCCTGAATGAGCCTCCAAAGACATAAGGATCACTTCCCAGCCAAAATCTGACTCTTAGCATCATGCGGAAAGGAAGTTTGTGGAAGGAAATAAAAAGATATATCAAACTACTGTACTTTTATCTCCTGGTAAGATTGATCGGTAAAATCGGTCTCTCTTTTTCTTTTCTTCAGGATTGGGAGGCAAAGGCTTCGAGCCGTGGTTTAAAGAGCCGGTGTCTTTGCTTCCAGATCCGATCATAGTGCTGGTGTTTCTCATTGGCGGGGCAGGAGGTTTGTCTTCTGTTTCAATACCATTATTGGACATCTTCAGCTGAAGAAGCTGTCACTGGGGATCAAGAAAGAGAATCAGTCATCCCTTTTGTGATTGTAGCTAGCAAATGCACAAACTGATCCTTCAAACCAGCCACCCATGAGTCAGTCCTGTCTCGCAGCTCAGCTACAGATCACCAACTTGCATACAATATTTCTTTTAGCAAGCAAAGTGTGGTCCCACAGCAACGTTCCCTTTGTATTAATACGCAGCTAAGGATTCAGGTTTACAAACTTAACACTAAATCTGTCCGAAGTTTATTTCCAATGTCAAGACCAAGTTTAAATGCTCTTTGTTTTATTGCTTTGGGACATTTCCTTTCATCAGGCTACATCCCCCAAATGCACACAGCAATTCAAGCGCAGGTTTAAACAAAACAGCTATGCAGAAACACCATGCAGAATAACTCAGTGGCATCAATTAATCATGCCTCTCACCAAATGGGAGTAAGGGCAATTTCTATACAGCCTGTCTGGAAACAAGAGCTGATGGGGGGTTCAAGCTTTTCATGAAAACTTAGTTTCCAAACAAGAATAAAATAACAACTAGCCAGGCCGCTCTCCGGTTCTGCAAGCAATAAGGAAACCCAAGTCGGGAGCTATTACTTCTGCACTAATGTTGAGCCCAAGAGCCTGTCCCACTGCACAAGGGGAGAAAATGCAAACTTGTTTTAGTTTAATTTTTTTTTAATTGCTCCTTCTGAAGTTGTTTTCCTTGGGAAGGATGCATGGCCAGGACGTCCCAACCTAGCTGGGCTGCGTGCCAGCAGACGGCTCCCGAGAACCAACCGGGCCGTGCTCCAGGAGGGAGGTGGCAGTCACCGAAGAGCCTGAGAAAGACTCGGGGTCCTCGTGGGCAGAGAAACGTGTGCTCAGTGTCTCTGTATATCAAACTCCAGGCACAAGTTTCCAAGAGCAGCAGCTGGCTACCCTGAGGTTTTCAATGCCCAGACAGGACACCAGGTGAGCCACTGAATTCAGTCTCAGAGCAGCAATTCCTGTCATAAGGAAGCAGTACAGAAAAGGGCAATTATTGCACACCACCTGCCTCAGGGTTACCACCATGACTTCCAGGAGAAGCTTTTGTCCCTGGGGCTCTCCATCTGTCTGGGTGTGTTTCAGCATCTGGTCCTCCGCGGGCCACAAGCCTCATGCCATTCCCCCACGTGCACGTGGGACATAGCAGAAGCGGACAGCAAGGCAGACAGTGGAGGATGCAGAGACCAGGACGCTTGGAGGAGGGAGGTTTCTTTGTCAAGACAGCGGTCTGCGGGCAGCAATCCCACCCGACATGGAAACCCCCGAGGCTTCGCTGACAAGGAACCGTTTCATGTCACCAGCAGCTCACAAAAGGCACAGCCGAAACCTGCAAAGGGACCTGCACAGACTGCCGAGGGCTTTGCTTTCACACGCAGAGTCAAGAGGAAGCAAATGGTTAGGAGGGTGCAATGCACCCATGGCAGCGGGGAGAGCCGAGGGGAAGTTCACTTTTTTAATGTTTTTTAATTTCATGTCTCGGGCCAAAGCAGCCAAAGCAGTTCTGAATTGCAGCAACTGAGCAGAGCTCAACCATTCAAATCTGTGCAGTACTAGTCTCCTCTATCTCAGGATCTTCAGCCTGGGGTTTCAGATACCCCCAAATCCATGGCAGGCATCCTATGTGCAAGCCTCAAGCTTAGAGGCCTTGGAGTTCAGATGCACCTTAGTCTCACTTGCCCCTAGCCAAACCCCCAAAGGAGCAAGCGAGAGGGAAAGGAGAGCAACTCCCACCACCATAAATTGTGTAGCTGAGATCCTCACGCTTAGAGGCATTTGCAGACTCTTGCAGGGGTCAGCCTGCCTGTAGTGCCAGGGACAGGTCTTCACCCTCCAGCTACACCCAGTCATTCTAGGCTGAGAAGAAGGGGATCTCCCCCTCCAAGGTAAGTACAACCACCTGGGCTGAAAATCACCCCATGATATCTTCCCTGCCATGCATCAGTGGCCACATATCTGCCACCTCGGTCCTCTCTAGCGATAGTCGCATTTGTAGGTGCTGCCACTTTCTACTTGCTCCCAGCTGAGACAGGGATGGGAGAAGCAATCAAAGTTTCCTTCCTCTGAAGTTCAGTCTCCTGGGGCACTTGTACACGTGATGCCATTAACATGCACACGTGACCAAAATGTCACTGTGTGGCTTAATGGCAACACACTGTACACGTGCAAGACTTTTGGGGGTTTTAAACGACTTTGCATGGTTGCAAACTAAACTACATCTGGATGTAGTTTAGTTTGTAATGTTGCAAAGTGCATCCATGCAGCTGTCAGCTTGCGCCCCAGATGCCGACGCCAGCTTCTGCGGGTGCTCGCCGTCCCCGATGGCATCGCTGGCTTCTGCAGGTGCCCCCCAGACTCAGGAGGCACCAGTCGCCCATGGGCTGGGTGCTTCCTCTGACCTGGGGAAGCACCCAGCTTGCTAGCAGCCTGCCTGGGTGGCCCCCAGGGATGCTGCCACCATAGAGAGAAGGACCAAGGCTCCCCACCGCTCAGGAGCCGCTTGGCCCACCAGCACCCCGACCGTGGGCAGGCTCCAGCTCCAACAAAAAACAGGATCATGCCCCTCATTGTAAAGTGATGGAAAAATTGAAACAGTGGGTTTCAATTAAAAACCCGCCATTTCAATGTAGGAAGCATAGAATAAAACCCTGAGGACTACACCCCCGTCACGTGTACAAGCGCCCATGGTTTCTGGGAGTTATCGGGACTGGTGAATGGGCAGGAAAAGCCACTTCCTTGCTGACTCCCTCTCCCCCACGGCGCCTGAGCGCGGCACAGAGTCAGGGAGCAACGAGGAGGACAAGGCAGCACCCCACCCACTACCCATCTGTTGGGCAACATAAGGATATAAGGAAAATTGACTGAGGACAGGGGAGAGAGAACAGATTAGCTGGGGGGCAGGACAAGAGAAAGCAACAGGAAAGAGGGATCTTGGACAACGGGCAGCACAACGGTGGAGGGCAAAGAGGGATGGGTAGGAGGGAGAAGAGAGGCCAATTCAAGTCAAGATACAGGGCACACAGTCTTAGGGCTAATATGCAAGACTAGGAGACAGGACACCTGGGTCCCATGCGCAGCTCAGCCACCAAATTGCTGTGAAAGCCTGGGGAGGTGGAGTCCTCTCCCTCTGCCTCTGCTTCCCCATCCGTAATACAGCCCTTCCCCACAGGAAGAGGCAAATGCTTTAAGACCCCCAATGGAAAAAAAGAGTTATGGCTAGTACCCGTGAGTAAGAGGGGGGAAGTTTGGGCAATACGAACATATTTGCTCCCTTTGACATGCTTCCTCAGATGAAGAAGCATCAGCTGCAGCACTGTCCCCTGGAGCCAACCAAATACTTCCTCACCACAGCCACACACACCCCTTGTTTCTTGAATTGCTATTACCCCCCCACCCCACACACACAGACAGCATGAGAGGGGGGCCGGTTAGTCTAGTCTCCATGAGATTATCAGTATTGCCAGCCCCACCATGCTGAAAATCACAAGATGAACTCTTGCAAAAATCAAGAGATTGGCACGTAAATCATGAGATGTTATTTCTGAAGTGTGTGTGTGTGTGGCAGGGTGATTTGTGAAGGCGTTGGGGGCTGTGGGTGTGGGTTGGGGCCTGGACAGGGGGGTCCCCACATGCCGTGGCAGGATGCGGGGGACTGTGGGGTCAGGAGTAAGAAGCACCAGCAGGGCTGGGGGGGCTGTGGCTTGGGAGTGAGGAGCAGACAGACAGAGACAGGGGTGCAGATGAGGGGTGCGACTCCCCCGCAGCAGCGTGCACCCCCAGGGGAGGCATGGGGGCACATGTTTCCTGCGGGTCAGATGTGGGCTGCCCACTGCGGGCTGGGACGCCCTACTGCCTTGCCCCAGGAGCTGAGCTCCCTGCCCCCAGTGAGCCCCCTGCCACTGGGCAGCCTACGGGCACCGTGTCCCCCGTCTGCCTGGCAGGTGGCAATGGCATCGTGTGGTTGAGCTCCTGGGGCAAGGCAGCAGGGTGCAGAGCCCCAGCCTGCAGTGGGTATCCCACCACAGACCCGCAGGGGACATGTGCCCCCATGCACCCCTGCCCTGCGCCTCTGGATGATCCACCCCGGCCCCAGACCCCTGCTCCTGCCCCACTTCCTCCCTCACCATGGGGGACCCTAATCTCCTTCCTCCCTGCCCCTGCCCCGGCCCCGGCCCCTTCCCCTCTACTTACCAGCTGGGAAAATCTGGAGATCTGAGGGTTGAACCAGGAAATCGCGAGTCTGAGTTATTCTGACTTTGAAATCCCGAGTCGTGCGATGGTTTTGCGACACTTGGCATTACCAGATTATTGCATGGAGGGGGGGACACCCCTAAAGCCCACAGAGTTAAAAGCACCGAATCTAGCCCAACCTCCAGTTATGAGAGTCGATTCTGGATCAGCAAGCCCAACCTCCACAGCCACTTCCCTGCAGGTGCCGGGATTTCGGTCCCGGATGCCTGCTCAGGATCACGGTCCACGTTCTAGAGACGGCTTTTCCAAAGGTCTTCGAGATTCTGCCTAGGATGTTCGCCTGAAACAGAGCAAAACCCATGCATCTGGAGCCGAGAGATGATGAAAGCGCAGAAAGTGGGCACTGCCAAATGGACAGGAATTCATCAGCATCCCCAAGCCCACTCCCCTACCTTCCCAGCCAAAACCAAACGCTCCATCTTGCGTGAGTTATGCTGCATGCCTGAGGACAGAGTCATCTCCCCAGAGTCCAGCAACCACCTAAGTCATCTTCAATCCATAGCTGACTTAGCTGCCCTCTTCCTTTGAAAGGATCTGCCTTGTTTTACACCCTGCTTGGCTCCTGGTAGCATCACGCCAGAGTCACTGAATCATCTCTGCTCCAAGCAATCCAGATGGACAAAAGCCATGCAACCTCATTTCCCTTGCTTTTGATTGTGCTGTTTGCAATAGTGGACTGCTCCACAAGGAACTGTTTTTACATTTCAATGGCATGATTAACGACAATGG